AGCCAATTGCATGTTAGTGAAAGGAAGCTGTTATGCACTGTAAAGAGCTGTCTGCCCTGTGGGTCATGAGATTCCCAGGCCTGAGAGCATTCAAGCAGGGACAAGTCAACAGTTTACAAGAAATGAATGACTGGACTACACAACCTGGTAGGTTGCTTTCACCCTATGACTCCATGAGATGAAAAAGGCTCTGCTCTTGGCAGTGATGAAATGCCCAGGTGGGGTGGCAGGAAAGGAGACACTAGAACTATGCACTTGGGAGGCAGTGGCTCTCCCTGCTGCTGCTGTGATTCCAAGTGTCCCTGTGTCCTCAGATCCTGAAACATGCCTCTTGGACTTAGTTTTAGAGAAGATGCATGATCAAGTCACAGCCATCACTGAAGGTCAAGCAACAAACGGACCGAGGAGCATCTCTGAGAGCCTGAGCTGGTCACTGGGGAGAGAAACAGTAGAATAAAAGAAAAAAGGAACAACTGAGTTTTGCATAGCACTTACATGTGCTCGGCACAGTTCCAGGCACTCTGTATAAATTAATTCATCTAGTCCTCAGCAAAGCCCTACCAGAAAGGCACTATCATTGCCGCCACTGAATGGATGAGAACATTTAGACACAGAGAGGTCAACATACAATGCCCAAGGTCAAGCATCTACAAGCAGCAAAGCCAGGGTGAGAAGCCAGGCAGGCAGACCAGAAAACACACTCGTAACACTCACACTACCCTGAAGCACAAGAACTCAGAAGTCAGATTCAATATGTATCATTCTTTTCAATTCCTCTACAAGAACCATTAGTTGTACTCAAAAACCTACTTAACATCCTTGTTCAGGCTGCCACACTGGGCTGGAGTCCAAGAAGTCAATAATAACCCCTAAGTGGAAACACACTTGAGGTTACGTTAAAGAAAAGGGCTTCTGAGAGTGTGCAAACACAAAGCCACAAAGTGGCCTGAGAATTCCCTCCAAGCCTCTGGAGCTTCCTGTCCCAAGGCCATGCTGGCCTCCTAGGCCACCCACGCTGGGTTCACCTGCCTGTTTCTACACAGCCTACCAAACACAGAAAGAGAAATGAAAGAGTCCTTAGCATATGAAAAAGCCAACAAGGTGAAATTATTTTAGAAGGGTTCACGACTGAGTGGGAGAAGGCTGGGCCATGACTCTGTGCAGCTTACCACCAGGGGCACAAGCAGCAAGGGACTTGCCCCACTGTGTGTCCGTTTCTTCACTTGTAACAACCAACTGCTCTTTGCCCCAACCAAAAGCCCTTCTGGGAGGTATCAGTAGGTGTATTTAGAAAATGCTAATTATAATCCTACAGATTAAAGTTACTTTTAATATGTTACAACTGGCATATTTAATTTAAATGGAGAAACTTCACACGAATATCATCAAAGCTGACATTTATTAAGCATTATCTACATTCCAGGCAACATCTCATGCAATGCATTTGGGTTGCTTGATTTAATCCTCAAATGCTCCACAAAGATAGGACAGGTATCAGGCCCATTTTACAGTCAAGGAAACTGAGAACCAGAGAGATTTAAAGTCTTGTCAAAGGGACGTGACGATGATGAATCAGCCAGGTGATTCCAGAGGCCACATGCTGAACCACAGAGGCACCAGCCTGTGAAGAATATGAGAGTAGGCGTGCTTGCCCCTGAATATGTATATAAATACACCTATACATAAAAGTGCAGTCCTCGATCCTGAGGAACATAAATTCCCCAAGTTCCAGTCTCAGGTCTCCAGAAGTTCTTCTTGCCCAGGTCCTTTGGAATCCAGGTAGGGAACCCCAAGTGACCTGTTTCATGAGTTCCTTCCATGCCTGTCACTGGCCAGCAGCGCTATCACTCTGCCAGGGTCACTGACAACCCCAGCTGCCCAGAATGAGCACCTGCAGGCCTGGAGCAGGCCCACCAGCAAGGAGTCTTTCCAGTGGGGTGCTGTTCTAAGTTGGAACCAACACACCAACACCTGCATTCTCTTGATGTAGTATTATGTAGTAGGAGAGATGGTGAATAAATGATTTACAGGTGCACATATATTTCCTCCATGAATTTTTTCAATCAAACTTTTTCTAACTACAGGAAGAGGATAGGCTTTGGTTGCAACACTGCTCTGGGTTTGCATATGCTTTACCTGCAGGTAACAATAGGTCCCCTGGGTTGCCTCCTCTGCCAGTGTGAGATGGTAAATGGAGGCACCACTGTGGACAGACTTAATAGGGCCCTGTAGCAGGAACAGAGACAGTGGAGGAGGTGGTGATAGGACTCAGGGACAAAAGACAGGGGTCATGGACCAATATTTACTGAGCACATGTGATGTGCTGGGCCCTGTGCTAGATGCTTCCGGGGTGCTATAGGGTTAAATAAGAGGATCCATGTAAAGGCTCAGCCTGAGGCCTGCTCTGCTCATGCTCCGTCGATACTAACCATAGTTCCTGTGATTTACTATTGTCTTTGAGTATAATTTTTAATTATTATCATACCCTATGAGTCCACAATCCTACATGGTTTATAATCAGAGCACGGCTCATTCATTTATCAACTTAAAAATAAGAAATCTCATCCTTTACTATCCCTGGAAGGCATTTTAAAAGGTTCTAAACATACAATCCCCAGGAACATTAATCAAAATCCCTCCCTCTCCCATTCATCTCTCTCACACCCACAAAAGAGCCAGCCTAACTATGTGCACTCCCAAAATAATCCCAATTTAAATATCCTTTTTCCTTTGTCCCTAATTGTTTTGACTGGCTTAACCCCTCTCCCAACCAGAAAAACATCTTTTTTCTACTTGTGTGGAAAAAGAGAAAAAATCAAAAAGAGGCTGACAATTACAGGATTCTCTTTGTTGGCTGGCAGAACAGGGAGCTCTGTGGATATGCCCATATCAATAACTTTTGACCTGCCCCAGAATTATTATAATATGGATGACTGTGTGAACTTGAGGATGTTGTCCTCATTTTTAGAGATTAGGAGGTATTAAGAAACATACAACTCATAGGAGAAAGACTGAATTCTGCTTCCCTAAAGAGTCCATGCCATCCAAAACACCGTTTCATATCTGAAATTCAGTGAACTGGATGAAGAAAATGTGGTACATATACACCATGAAATACTACACAGCCGTTAAAAAAGAATGAAATCACATATTTTGCAGCAACAAGGATGCAGCTGGAAGCCATTATCCTAAGCAAATTAATGCAGGAAGAGAAAACCAAATACTGTATGTTCTCACTTATAAGTGGATGCTGAACAGTGGGCACTCATGGATACAAAGATGGCACAATAGACAGTGGAGACTGATACAGGTGAAAGGGAGGAAATGGGACAATGACTCATAAACAAACTGTTGGATACTATGCTCAGTACCTGGGTGATGGGATCAGGTGTACCCCAGACCTCAGCATTACACATTACACCCAGGTAACAAACCTGCACATGTAGTCCCTGAATCTAAAAGTTGAAATTATTTAAAACATAATAATAAAACTAAGCAGAATTCCAGTTTTATGGAGTAAAGGAAGGAGCACAGGATGTGGAGTGAGCGCTGTCTGACTGTAAAACCCAGTTTCATTCCTTCCTGATGAAACAATCATCCATCAGCAAGTCTCCTAGTCTCTTTTGACCTCCATTTCCTCATTTGTAGAACCGGGATAATAAGTGCTTGTTTTATAGAAATGTTGTAAGAATTCAAAGAACACACTCAATAAATGTTATTTCCACCCTTCAACCTAATGAGACATCTTTAAAAAAAAAAAAAAAAAGTTCTATATGTAGTTTCTTGAATGCGGCAGCAATAATCTTTTTCCTTTTCAATATCAAATTCCACACCATGGTAGGAATTACTCACAAAGAGTGTTTTTACCATTTCCTATCTCCAAAATATATTTTCTGTTGGGTAATTCAAAGCTATAAAGGCTGCCAAAACCCTAAATAACCAGGCCACGTCAGAGCCAGCATTGCATGACCTGCATGCTATAAATGAATTGCTTCTAAGCACAAGTAGATGTGGAGGTAGTTTGATTTTGCTCTGATATGACTCAAACTAATAGAAACACTGTAAATATCCTTCCCTAAGTTGGAAGCAGGCAACATTACCATTAGCAGTAAATGTGAAACCATTTCCATAATAATTTGTTGAGCCAAGAACCTAGAGAGTGGCTTCCGTGACAGATGAGAAGTCACTGGGCCTGATTGAATCAGACTAACCACATATTGCTTGACTGTACTCTGCCTCCATTATGAGCCCCCTGAGAATTCAGTCTCAGTGTCAGTCAAATCAGAACAAAACAAGAACCCAACCCTTTAGCCTAAGAATGGCCAGGAAAGTTATGTCATATTAGAAGGTAGAAAATTGATTCATACAGTTAATTAGCATGTGGTTCCTGGGATCAAGTTTTAAAAGAGGCACACAGCACACTTGCTATACAAATATAAAACCACGGGAAATGCTGAGAAATATAAACTTTCTCAAATACCAAAGGTAATAAATCCATATTTATGCTCTTGGGCATTAAGACTCAAGTACTTTCAGTGCTCTCAATGGTCCACTATAAACTTTCCAAACTTGTGTATTTGCCAGAACAACTAGATTTGATATTGATTTTTTGTTACAAAGCCAGGAACTGCAAGATCTTGGGACCAAATATAAGATCCAGAGTACTCCCTTCTTCTCCTTGCATTTCCAATTCTATAAGATTTGAGGGTAACACTTCGCCCTGTTATACACAGGACGACTGAGCAAAGTGATGAGGAAATGTCAGTTGTATAATATCAGCTAAATGAGTTTCAGTTTCATTCCATGCTCTGTCAGCTTCCCTTCTTCTTACACACCCTCCCTCTTCCACAGAACAGGCAAAAGAAACCGGACCAAGTTTTGTGTGAATTCATCTCAAAGAAACACTGAAAATGCCATCTAGAGAAGCAGGGAACTTCCTTGCTTTCTTAATACTTCCCAGACTAGAACTGGATATATTACTTAACTAGGGAACCCTTAAGGCAATATCACGTCTTTGGAGAACTAAGAATGAATACACAAAAACATGTGCACTTGTTTTTGAAATGCTTTAGAATAGTCAGTTTTAAGAGTCATTTCATTCCATTATTTAAAAGCCTCCTACCCATCCTTTTTATTAACTCAAGAAGGTTCAGGAGAGACATAATAACAGGCACATTTTTAATATAGGTCAGATGCATGGTCTGGGACTAGGAGGCATCTGGAGAGGTGAAGGTGAGCCTTTACCAGTATATCATCATTGTGAATCCCAGAGCTGTCATTCTCTAGATAACCCAGTCACCAGGCAAGGCACACAGGTGCAGCTGGGATGGAGGGGAAGGTTTGCCCAATGCTCCACTGCACAGTCTCGTCTTCTAATTGTTACTTGTATTCTCCATAGTACAGCTTTATGCCAGTTAGGGAAGAGAGATATCTAGACCCAAAATTGTCAATAAACTTGGTCGCATGACATCACTGGAGTCTGTGGGCTTAATTCTAAGGTTGTTCATTCCCCCAGTACTCTGCCCAAAAGCCAATCAGCTATAATTCTTTATCTGTAATGAGTCAAAACAATATGGAAACACAGTTGTCATTCTTAGCAGCCAACAAACCAGCCGCAGGAAGATGAGCTGGGGTCAAAACTCAGCCCTTCGTATACCTGATGCCCACAGAGAAAAACGACTGAGAATGATGGTTCTAGGAAAAACCTCCAAAGCCTCCATCTAATGCTGTTTCTTTGAAGGTGAAGAAACAGAGGTCCAGGGATGTAAAGGAATTCAGTCCCACCCTTTAGACCCTATTATCCTGAATCCCACTGGAGCACAGGAGTTAAGAACAGGATCTTCAGAGTCAAATAGATCTCAGATTTCTATCGCAGCTACTCACTAACTGTGTGACCTTGAGCAAGTCTTTAAGCACCTGTGAGGCTCAGGTCCTACAACTACGAAATACAGGGCACCTGCCTCAATAGGGATGTTGCTAAGTGTCATATCGTGATATAAGAAGTTCATATTTGGTGTCTGCCCCTGGTTTCTGAGACAAAGCTCCTAAAACTCTTATAGATAAGGGTATACAAAGATTTTATAAATATAGAATTTTTTGTTCTAATACTTGGTCTTTGACCCTGGCTCCTAGCACACAGTTCCTAAAACCCTTGGAATCTCTGGAGTGAGGAGTGCCTTTTGTATGCTAATGAGTTGACTGGCAGTTGGGGGGCCCCTAGACAGCTTCAAGATGGGGACTGGTCACCAAAATGACCAAGGTATGAACAGAGGGTTGGAACATTCAGTCCCACCCCAACTTCCGGGCTGGGGAGAAGGGCTGCAGGTTGAGTTGATGACCAATAGCCAATGTAATCAATCACACCTATGTAATGAAGCTTCCATAAAACCCACAAAAGCAGGGTTCAGAGAACTTTTGGACTGTTGAACACAAAAGGGTAGTGTTCCCCAAAAGGACATGGCTGTTCTGCCTTCTTCATCACCCCTCGTCCTATGCATCTCCTGACCTGGCTGTTCATCTATGCCCTTTGTAATCTCCTGTATAATAAATGGGTAATGAGAGTAAAGTGGTTCCCTGAGTTCCATGAGCAGGTCTAGCAAATTAATCAAAGCTGAGAAGAGGTTATGGGAACCCCAATTTATAGCCAATTAGTCAGAAACACAGGTCACAACCTGGGGCTTATGACTGGCATCCAAAGTGGGGGGTCCTTCTTGTGGAGTGAACCCTTAACCTGTGGGATCCGATGGCAACTCCTGGTAGACAGTGTCAGAATTAAGTTAAACTGTAAGACATCCACTTAGTGTCTGCTGGAGAATCAGGTATTGGTGTGGAGAAATCCTTACATATTGTGGTGACTAGAGGTGAAGTATTCTGTATTGAGTATGTTGAGTGTGTCAGAGGAGAGAGAAAATAACAGGAGTTTATGCTTCAGACTAAACATCAGAGACAATCAGAAAGTGTTTATCCCAGTGCCTGGCACATAATAAGTATACAATATATTGCAACTAATACATTAATGATGGTGCAATTTCTTAGAATCCCTTTAAACCATAATTCTGTCAGGATTAATTTTATTCACTCAACAAACATAAGCTGAACGTATACTATGGGTCAGGCACTGTGGATTCTGCTGGACAGAAGCAGACAGCAGGAATTGTGCAACAGCCTTGGCCTGATTTGCCTGCATAGTGCCTGATTAATAATCTCATCTCGGTCAGGTGAGAAGCCCATGTGGTTACTTTTTAGTCTATGACTGACCTAGAGGCCCTGGGCCAAAGGCAAGGAGTCTTAGTCCTTTCAAACTGCATTTCCAGGATTTCCTGAATTTGTATTTTGTAGTTTGCCAGACTGCTTCACCCTGAAGCTGAGCTTCCTTGCAGTACACAAGGTCAGAAGCTCACTTCTTGCACGTGAATAACAGCCTCAAGTGGTTGGCTGGACAAAGACGCTGCACAGTCTGTTGAAATAGAAAAGTGGGGAGAGTGAGGTAAACACAACCCCAAGCTCAGCCTCTGACCTCCAAGACTCAAACTGCTGCTGACCAGGGGTCAGGTGCTCAGCCGCCCTAGGGGAGGTCAAGGCAATGAGCCTTGGTTTTAATGCACTGCAGAGGCCTCTGCAGCTCACTGTGGATCCTTTCAGGGAGGAGAAAGCCCACTGCAGCAGCTGGAGACCATAAAATGTGCTAATCTGAGGCATAGTCATGGGTTTCACTGTTGGTGAGTGGAAAAAGAGTGGAGAAACCAAGTGAAATCATCCACCCCAGCACCATCATAGTGATAACTCCCCTTTACTGAGCACTTGCTATTCAGAGTACACGTGTTCATTACAGCTATCTCCATTTACTCAAGAGGTATTTGAGGTTGAGAGAGGATAAGCAACTAACCTGAGGTCACATAAAAAGTAAGTGCAGAAACAGACCTCACACCCAAGGTGTCTCACAGATTCTGCACACTGACTATACCAACAACAACACTATCAAGAACTCATATTTTTAGACTTGATGAGCCAAGCTCTGTGCAGAGCAATTATATTCTCTCATTGTATGTCATCAAACCTCTATCAAGTAAGTGCCATTGTTATCCCCATTTTACATCTCCCTAAAGTACCACTACCCAGGCACAATAAAAAAACATCCAGACACCAGAAAGTGATGTCACTTCTACTGAATGTGCCCTTGCAGAAGCATGTGGCTCCATCATTCATTTAGAAAGGATCATGTTTATCTGCTTCACCAGTATTTCTCTACAGCCAAGCAGACCTGTGGCACACTGCAGTCAACAACAACGTCAGATGGTTGATCGAATAAGCATGTATTAGTAGCTGTGGTCTATACCTTCAAACCAGTAATAAGACATAGGCATGAAAAGATAAACAGAAACAATACCTCACACACCAAGTGCCAGTGTCAGGATACAAATGAGAAAAGATAATGGGGAATGAGCCAGAGATAGTGGGGCCTGACATGGTCAGGAAACTACATTCGAGCTGAATTTTAAAGAAAGTACCTGAATGAGTAGAGATGACATGAGGCAGAATTTACAGTCTATTAAATCATGATCAGTTTGTTGTAGAAATATTCCACTCCTATGCAAATTTTTTAATTCACAAGTCCTACCCCCAATTTTTTTAAGCAAAAGTTCAATGTAACCATTACAAGGGAATTAATATCTACTCCTTAATGCAGACCAAAGGCGTACCATGTCCTAAGCACACACACTGTGACTCAATAAATGAAAGATAAAGTCTTGCCCACAAAAAGTACTGGATAAATATTGGCTAGTGTGGGTGGGTAGGTGCCAGGGTCTACAATTTCAATGGGAGACAACAACATTTCTGAACACTCACTATGTGCCAAGAACCAAGCTTTCTATAGGCTTTCACATTTAAGACATATGAGAAGGATGTTTTTACCTCTATAGAAAACAGATATATTCTTCTCAAATTAATGTTAAGCAACTGGTTTGCACCTGGGCAATGAGGCAAAATGTCTTCTAGGCAGCCTCACCCATGTGGTGAAATCACCCTTTACACAGATCAGAAAGAAAGAACTGTGAAAGAAAGAAAGAACTGTGCTCCGCAGGGCCCCAGTGGTCAGAGTCTGCCCTCACCCAGAGAAGGCTTACATCAACCAAGCTTTGAGGGACTAGAGGAAAAGCCACGGCACCAAAATGTCTCATCTTCCATGAAAATTAGAACAGTTGGGATGACAGCACCTTCCTGGAATGTAAATTTTACTGGATGATAATTTTACACATTTTTCATACAAAAATAAACACAGATATGTTAAGAAGTGGAATTCAAAATGTGTAAGAATGCTTAAGATGAAACCTAAGACTTCAAAGAAATTTAAGGTTTCTCAAAGATTGCTTCCGGCCGTACTCCTAAACCTCCCAGCAATGGGGTTCAAGTTCCCCTACCATGAGCAGTTTGTGGTATAAAGTTTTCATAAAACTCTGAGTTTGTCAATGTTTGTAGATCCAGGAACCACAAGGTATCTTTAGGATAACTGCACATTTTTGATCTGCTGCATGAGGGTTCACTTCAGAGGTTAATCCTCAGATTCTAGGCTAAAGTTCTTAGGAACACATAACTACCTATTCTAGAGACAAAGAAAACTAGGGTTTAAAGAGATCAGTGGCTGGCCCAAGGTCAAACTGTGGCATAACTCGGGTTCAATCCAGATTCAAAGCCTCGTCCCTCTTTGCTAGAAGCAAATGATCCAGGGGCATACCAAATGTACAATGAAAGGATGGCTCATCACATAATGCTCCCTGTGACATGAGTTCTGGAGTGAGTGAGGATGACAAGGCAATCCCTAGCATGGCAGGGAAAGGGGGCACTGAGGTAGAACCTAAATAATAGAAGGGACTCAGACAGAATGGGCAACACATTCAGCAGGTGAAGGCTATCTTGAGCAGGGGTCTCAAGATAATCAAATGAGACACTTGTATATGGCCCTGCAGAGCACTGGGCACATAGAAAGCATGCAACAAGCATTAACTGCTATAA